TGAAGTGTAGGGCTGTGATGAAAGATTCTGTTGTGCACAAGTTCTATAAAACCCTATGCATAAAGGCATGAAAATGATTTAAATACAATATTTAATCCTTTGAGAAATATTAAGGTTTTAAAATATATTTTATTAATTCTTTGAGATGCATACGATGTATTTTGATTATATTCATCCTTTCTGCTCCCCACCCCCGGACCTAATTCCTCCCAGATCCATCCCTCACTCCCCATCCTTCCTCCTACCTTCATATTGTCTGTGTGTGTGTGTGTGTGTGTGTGTGTGTGTGTGTGTGTGTGTGTGTGTTTAACAGACTGAATCCAGTTTGTGGTACTCATATAATCATGGATGTGGATCCATCCAAGAAATAATAAGTTTTAGCTGTATGACAGCTGTGAACTATATACTGATTCAAAAGTAAGTCACAATTCCAAGGAAATTGACATCTCATGAAGAAAGAGCCATAAAAACTAAAAGTTAAAATGTCATCTGGCACCTGTCGATCTGAACACAATCCTAGGTTGGTGAAAATATTGATCTTCCTGTGGGGGAGTGGCTCCTGATGATTCTCAAAGGATGAGTGGCTAGACATAGTGGACTTTTATTAGGAGGGAGAGCAGTGTGAGCAGAGGGTGTGACAAGAGCTAAGGAGTGAAGGAGAGAAACAGCATGACACATGGAAGTCAGAGAGGACAGGTCACAGTGAGCCAGGTCTGCGCCGCGAGGGAATTCAAGTTTTATCCTGAGTGACCCAGGGATTTCCATGTAAAAGAGTCATAGAAGCATTTTACATACAGAGCAAACAGGTTTGAGAACTTGTTCCACCTGCAAGATGAAGTGGAGGGACCTCAGCACTGGATGCAGAGACCCGTTAGTGGACAGTAGACCGTTTAGGAGATGCTCAAGGCTTGGATTAAATGATAGCAGTGAGAGGTGGATAGAGAAAAGGAAGTAAATCCACACGGGACTTGTGGGGCAAAAGTCACAAGATGCTGTGTGGTGGCTATGGTGATCTATGTGAGGAGTGGGAAGAGTCAAACATGGCCCTCACTTCTGACCTGAAAGGTTGGATGCAGCAGAGAGGGGAAGGTTCAGCTCTAAGGTAGAGTGGGCAGTTCTCTTTGGACCCATGTGGAACCTGAAGTGCCTGCAGCCTCCTGGTCACAGAAGTCCTCTTAATGGCTGAGGGACTCCAAGCTACCATTGGGAACTTTGCAAAGACCTCTCTGAAAACCATTGCCAGGGACCATAGCCAGTGCCATCTCAGCTTCTACCAGGTGTGCATTTTATAGGCAAAGCTCTTCCAAGCCACTGCCTGGGAATAAATATTTCATTTTCATAGAAGAAATAAAAATACAATAATGTTCTGACAGAAAGCTACTCCCCTTCACTAGAGTTTTGTCATAATGAATTTGGTTATTTCCTAAATTAAGCCACCCCTCCATGTTGTCGATAGAGATAGCTATTCCATGGGCCGTGGGAGAGATCCCACTTTCAACTCAAGCAACTCTAAAACAGAAGCCACAATGAGAAGTGTAGCCTGCTAAGGTCACGAACCTAAGACTACACTCAGCCAGACAGGTCCTTGCTGGGATGTGGTGCCTAAGAAACTTAGGACAGTCATGCGTTCCATAGCATCCTATGAGACAGATTTCTTCCTTCTCTTCTGAGACAGGTACACTGTGCTCCTCATTACATCATCTCCACTTGTGAGAAAATCTAGAACCAAACTAAGTTTTATTATCTTCCAACCAGATTGACCTCTAAAGCGTGGGCTCAAGTCTCTGCCCTTGGCTCTGGGCTGGAAGATAAAGGCAAAATGTGAATGGTAACTCAGCTATAGACAAAGGGATTGGATTGACCATCAAGATACCCAGTCCCAAAAAGGTCAGCATTTTAGTACAGTAAGGAGTGCATCCACTGGAAACAGAATTCTCCAGACTAGATGTAGCTAGAGTTTTCCTGCCTGGCCCACAGTCAGGACAAATCTCTCTTCCTGCCAGTCCCACAGCCACTCAGAACCGACCAAGTAAACACAGAGACTTATATTGGTTACAAACTGTATGGCCGTGGCAGGCTTCTTGCTAACTGTTCTTATATCTTAAATTAATCCATTTCCATAAATCTATACCTTGCCTCGTGGCTCGTGGCTTACCGGCATCTTCACATGCTGTTTGTCATCGTGGTGGCTGGCAGTGTCTCTCTGACTCAGCCTTCTACTTCCCAGCTTTATTCTCCTCCTTGTCCCGCCTATACTTCCTGCCTAGCCACTGGCCAATCAGTGATTTATTTATTGACCAATCAGCAACACACTTGACATACAGACCATCCCACAGCAACTAGAGACACAGCACAGTTGGCCATGAGAAGGGCAGGGGAGCAAGCCTGATCTCGCACTGCTGGGAATGCCTGTCCTCTGGCCACTCAGAAAGTGTCAGAGTGCTTAGCCACTGAAGTTTGGGAACAGTGTCCAGTGACGGACATTGTCTTGGCCCCTTAGTTGGGGCACAGTGACCCAATGTTGTCATTTCATGAGCCTAGCAAGCCAATTAGCCAACTGATTCTCTATCATGCTAACTCGTGCATAATTATACTACTCTCAAACAACACACACTCCTTTCTGTACAGTAAGAAGTGGCTATATATATATATATATATATATATATATATATATATATGTGTGTGTGTGTGTATTTAGGAATATATATGTGTGTAGCAACAGTTGATTTTAAAAAGAGGCCATTAATATCAAAGAGAGCCAGGAGAGATATATAGGAGGGTTTAGAGGGAGGAAAGATGAAAATGTTATTATATTATAATCTGTGTGTGTGTGTGTGTGTGTGTGAGAGAGAGAGAGAGAGAGAGAGAGAGAGAGAGAGAGAGAGAGAGATGTGGTGCCAGGCATAGTGGTGAACACTTTTAATCCCAGCACTTAGGAGGCAAAAAACCACACAGATCTCTGAGTTCAAAGCCAATCTGGTCTACATAGCAAGTTCCGAGCCACCTGGGGCTATATAGAGAGACCTTGTCTCAAAAAGGAAAGAAGAAACAGAGGGAGGGAAGAAACAGAGGGAGGGAGGGAGGGAGGGAGGGAGGGAGGGAGGGAGGGAGGGAGGGAGGAAGGGAGGAAGGAAGGAAGGAAGGAAGGAAGGAAGGAAGGAAGGAAGGAAGGAAGGAAAGAAACACGGCAGCTACAGATCGATCTGGGAACCCCGTCTGGCACAGCTCAGCAGCCTGTGTGTGAGATGAGTACTTTTTGACTTTGCATCAGGTCAGTCTCTGGTCCTTAGCTTCTGCCAACCGTAATACACTACAATTATTCTCAACAGCCATCGAGGACATGAAGACAAGAGAAAAGCCTCTTGCAGCTGTTGGGCTCCCCTCCTCCCCAGGCGGTCCAGGCCTCCCTTCACTGATGATGGGATGACTGGCATGGAAAGTACCATGGGGGTAGCCAGAAGCAGCAGTTAGTCGTTTCCATGTTCCCTCATAGGGAATGCTGAGATAGTATCAGTATCAGCTTGAGCACGGAACTCCCTTTCCTACCATTTGGATAAGCCCTGCAGGATCTTCTGTCATCTCTAAGGGGAAAGAACTTTATGTCAAACAAGGCCACCACCTCTTAGATAATAAATGGAAAATTCACCATTCTTTGATTATTGAATTATAGGCATTATTACCAAGCTTTGCTATCATTCCTGGTTCCAGGGGTAGAAATATGTAGAATGCCGCTATTAGGGTCCAGTCAAATGCCCCATGACCGTGCTAAGGGCTATGAGTTAGATCATTGTACAGCATAAATTCCCTTTCCTCTGGCTTCTTCCATTGCCGTGGGTACTTGGAAGCAGTATGATATGGTGGACCAGATCACAAACTCCAGAGTAAAACAATCCAACCTCTGAGCACCTGTAGAATCTGTAGGACACTTGATATATACCAACATTTTTAAGCCTCTACCCTCTCGTGTGAAGAAAAAAAATAGAAATAAAATCTATTTATAATGTGGAATCTTTTGAACATAAACTGCGATAACAGAGTACTTAACACGGTGGTTGGGGGGGGTAAGTACTCCATAACTATCAGTCATGACCACTATGATTATCATCATATGTACCATCCCCTGGGAGGAGATACATAGACTGAGAATGGCCACATGTTCTTCTCTGTTGTTCTGTGCAAGGATGAGAGATGGACAGGAAATGTAGAAAGGTACTCAGAATGGCAAGGTCACAAACAAGGCAATGAGGATTCCAGCCAGGACACTAAGCCAAGGGGAGAGCAGCATGTGACGGAACGTGCATGCCAGCCTACAGCACAGTTTCCACAAAGCGTTTTAGCTTTAGTGGAAAAGTGAGCAGTACTCCATCACAGCTTTTCTTTGGTCTGTTTTTTTTTTTTTTTTTTTTTTTTTTTTTTTTTTTTTTTTTTTTTTTTTTTTTTTTTTTTCCTGAATGCTGCTTTGGTTTAATGGTAGAATTTAAAGATGCTGTGTTGAATAGAAATTCTACTACTGTGGCTTTTCTAAGAAATTAATATAATGTTGAACTTTCTTTTACCCCTTCTTTCCTTTCCTCCTGTTACATCCTTTCAGATGCATTAAATTTCATATCACCTCTTCCGGAGGTCAAACTTTATTCAAACACATTCTCCCCCAAGAAGGTGCATCCTGTCATGGGTTGCCTCTAAACGGCTCATCGCCATCATTCCCATGAGTCAACAGCTATTTGCGGTCTTATGGATATTTCTTTGGGGTTGTTTTCCATTAGATCAGCTAGACTTTTATTTGACTTACTTGGGCACTGTGTTTTATTTCCTTTTGATCATTTTTTTTTCTCATTTAATCCTGATACAGCCCAGGACAGACCTTTTTGACCTAAATTCCCCCTCCCAACTTCCTATTTCTCCCAATCTGACTGTGTTAGTAAGTGGTAGGCACCTGTCCAACTTTAAAAAACAAAATTCATTCAACCTCCTCTTGTGTATCCCTTCTGCTTTACCAGGTCCAGCTGGGAACTGCCTGACTTGAGGGAAGGGAGAGTGAAAGCCATCAGTGACTCGGATGGGGTGAGCTACCCCTGGTACGGGAACACCACAGAGACTGTGACCCTGGTTGGCCCCACCAACAAGATCTCCAGGTTCTCCGTCAGCATGAATGATAACTTCTACCCCAGCGTGACATGGGCAGTGCCCGTGAGTGACAGCAACGTGCCACTTCTCACAAGAATCAAGAGGGACCAAAGTTTTACCACCTGGCTGGTGGCCATGAATGCCACCACGAAGGAGAAGATCATTCTGCAGACCATCAAGTGGAGGATGAGAGTGGACATTGAAGTAGACCCTCTTCAGCTGTTGGGTCAGCGAGCCCGGCTAGTGGGCAGGACTCAGCAGGAGCAGCCCCGGATTCTGAGCCGGATGGAACCCATCCCCCCTAACGCACTAGTGAAGCCCAATGCCAACGATGCCCAGGTCCTCATGTGGAGGCCCAAGCGGGGGCCGCCTCTGGTTGTGATACCTCCTAAATAGAAGCAGACTGCCCAACTGTGTGTGGAACACATGCCACTGAGGCACACAGTGGGGTTGCCAGGGAGGGGGCAGGAGCCAAACTGAGTTTCTGAGCCAAAGCAGACCTCTTGGTTTGCCAGCCTCTGCAGCTACTTGTGAAGAGTACAGCTGCTCCTTGGGTGGGAGAACCATAACCCTTAGGAAAAAGCCCCTTCCTCTTAGGAATAAAGAAATCACTGATTTGACAGACTTGCTGTGATTCCCATGCAAGTAGCCATATTTTGCAGCTGACCGGGATGATTCTTTTCTTTGAACTATTGACCATTTCTTTCCTGTGAGATGCAGGGGATGTAAATGAGACTAAACAGTGCCTGTGGCGGATGCTGCTTCCCAACCAATTAGAAGCGCGCGAGTGGAAACATCCACACCAGGTGTTCGTAAGACAGTCTCTCCCTCCCCGCCCCCGCCCCCGCCCCCGTGTGTGACTGGAGGATGTTGGGGAAATTGGGTGAAAGATATTGGGTGACGGGGAGAGAGAAGAAGAAGTTGCTACAGATTAATATCAAATATCAGTTGTTCAGGTTGTCAACACATTTCCCTGGAATGAGAGGAACACTTCAGAAACTGAAAAGGTAGTGTGTGCCCTTTGCGCTGTTTGAGTGAGCGCTGCGGTGGGAGCTGTCCAAAGTGCTGATGTCCGCCGCCCTGGTGGAGGCTGGCTGCCTCCATCCACTCACCTCAGTCCAAAGAGACGGTTCATCCTACCTGGTGTTAGTCACAGTGTTGCATATGTAGTTCCTGTTTTCTGTAGTAACTGTGGCACTGGGTCCCTCCTGAGTTTTGAGTGACTCAATCTGTGACTTCGTTTACAGCTACAGATTCCTCACCAGCCCTCAATTTACAAAGATGGATAGCCTCACGTTTATGTCGGGTTTGGGGAACATCTCAACAAAGGAGAACAATACCCTCAAGTTTTAGTCTCTGAATTGTCTGGGCACAGGACGTGCACACGTCTGTGCACGCACATGTATGCTCACACAGCAGCATTCAGAGATAACAGCAGCTGGTCTCACCGGCAGTGCCTGAGCATTTATCTGTGGCCTTTAAACACGCATAGTACGTACACTGTAAGTCCACATAGGTGAACTTCAGTTATACTTACAAAAATTCAACTTTAACTGCTTGTCCAGCTATAGGGAGGAAATGTTTCGTGCTTCTTCAGTGGAAATCTGAGCACTTTCCTTAAGCAAACTTGTGTTGCTGAGATCCAGCCAATAAAGGTGGGAAGCCAAATTTCCTTTAGTCCAGCAGTGTAAAACTTTCTAAAGAGTTTCCAGTATTTACAGTGGTAAGATTCCCAACCCTTTCAGCCTAAATCATGGCCTCAGCCCCCCAAAAGAGCTTTCCTTGTTATTCTCAATAGTGCAGATCGTGAGATAGAGCCTTCTTAGTTCAGAAACTCCCTGTGAGAACAAACTACGGAATTCTCACAGTGTTGTACATTGAATAAGTAAATTCTGCAATCCTAATTTCAGAGGTAAGAGATCCTAAGTCTAGAGACATTACGCAGATCCTGTCATTGACTCCAAATCTACCAGAGTTTGGGGACAGAGACTGTGAATCAGGAGGGCTTGTTCATTGCTTTTGTTTAAAATGCACTGTAGTCTAATTTCCCTGGTGCTCTGATCCCAGAGGATGTTACTCAAAATTACATAGCACTAACTTCACACCCCAACCATCAGCTTCTCTCTCCTAGACTAGTTATTGATGACAAGTCATTTATAACAGCACATGAATGCCCATGGGTGAGTTGCAAAGACTCTATTTAGAAATAATTCAGCTATTATTTTGGGATTTCTCTGTCCCTTTCTCATTCCTTCCCACTTTTTTACGGCAAAGCTGACCTCAGAGAGCTACAGGCTGAAGAGTAAAGCTGCTTATTTTCCATGCTGACATAAGAAGTCCCAACCTCTACCTCATTGAATTAGGTGCTACTTTTATGAGATTTGGGGCAGTGGATGCTGATCTTGAATCCAAGCCATGCCGCCGCCCCACTTTAAGAAAACCTGATTTTTTTTTACATCTAAAATTGTAACAACAGATGAATAAGAAAGAGTTTATATTAAAAATCCTATGCAAGGTTTCAGTCTCTAAATGTCCCTAGCACATTAAGATATGACTCACACAATTATATTTACATAAAATATAGCTTTTCAAAGACCTGTCTAGACTTATAAAGCAAGGTGCAGCATGCTTACCTAGACTTATTCCTCCTTAAAAAGAATCACTTCAGATTTTTAAAATAAATTACCCCCAGACAGTTTCCTGGGGAATGATGTAATAAAAATTGAGAAAAAATATATGGAAAAGGGCTTATAAAAGGTAAAAGCTCTATGTAAATATGCATTACTGTTGTCATTTGTTACTTCTGTAAACTCTCTCTCAGTTCTGAAGTCAGTCCGGCAGAACACTCAATTGCCCAGTAGCCAATGATGTCAAAGTTATCATTGTTTTATAAGGAGATGACCCCCTTTCTTGCTGTCTGTGGATCATTGCCTTTTAGCTTAGTCAGGATATTGCCAAGCAAAGGGCTCTCTTACAGGAGAGAATTAACCTTGCTATCTCTGTTGGGGTCATGTGCATCAGCCTGCATTTCCTTGAGAGTGGGTGGTCTGACACCAGACGACATCATTTTCAAAGGGGCTCATTCTGAGACTTTGGTGTGAGTTGGGTGGTCTCTAAACCGTATTTGGATTCTGTATAGGTTCATGGTTTCTTAGTGGCACAACAGTTTTAAACTCCTGTATCTGAAAGAACATTTCATCAGATCTTGAATCCTTAAATGAGGTCACCTTTGAGATCTTGTAGTCTGTGATCTCCAAGGAAATTGAGGCCCATTTAAATTAGGTCATCTATTCAGGATCACAAACCTAATCAGCACAGGCCTGAGTCTCCCAGACCTCAGCTTACAACACAGGCACATTACCTGAGACCTGGGGTCTTCCCATGTCTCCAGCCAGAAACATTGTCATTGTCCCAGAATCATTCACCCTCAAATCAATTAGCCTAGAAATTAGAAACAATTAGGTCCAGAACCCTTTTCATTATAATATCAAAAAATGAATATTCCAGATTGCTTTCTGTGACAGCTGTTTTGATATTGAACCCTTAATCTTTGTTCTCTGCCACATGCCTACCACATCCTCAGGTCATTGCTGTAGTCCACAACACATGGGAGGCTGCAGACTGGTCCCCTTTCTGCCTTCCTCCTAATGAATCATTTTGGATCTCCCTCCCTCCCCCCTGCCCCACAACGAATACCTCAAAGGCCAAAGTCACGGTCTAAGAAACAACTCTGCATAGTAAAATAAAGCAGCAATGATTTCTAAAAGGTTTTATAAAAGTTTCCACATTGCATTTTCTTGTCCACAGTGCATCTTCTAAGAAGTGTCATTTGATGGTGATGGTGGTGGTGGTGGTGGTGGTGTTATTGTCCACATTTTACAAATAGCAGATTGAGACCAAAGAGGTTAAATGATGTACCCACAGGCACACAGACAGGAAAAAATGACAAGAGACAGGATTCAAACTGGGCCTTTTGGCTCAAACTCCCATTTTCTCCCTCTGCATGGTGCTATCCCTTAGTTTACCCCTTAGCACAAAGGAGAAAAAGAAAAGGAGCAGGCAGGTCACTGTCACCTGCACAGTCATGTAGTCCCCCCTACCTACCAAGTAGAGTCATTAAAAATGAGGGAATGAAAGCTGTTTTCTTCCTCAAAGAGCCTTGTAATCCCCAGGGAGGTTGGCCCAGAAAAAACGCCTGTCAGGGACGGGGGTGTGGGGGAGGTGGCTGTCACTTGTAATTAATGGAGTAGGAAAGCTGTTTCCCTGGTCTCTGAATCCCTTAAACACCACAAGTACAAAGACAGGCAGGAAGCAAGCATCCTACAGCTGAGGTCCCAGCTGAGCACTGCCCTGCCACCCGCGGTCCCTCAATGCACCCGCAGGAGCAGCCCATGGGGCGGAGGCAGCGGAAACAATGGCTTTCCAAGGCCTTCTTGGCACATGGAACGTTCTTGTTAAGAGTGGAGGGCACAATTAAACATCACTAGAGCCAGCTCCCAACTGAGTTGCAAAGAAAGATAGAAACGCACGCACGCACTCACGCACGTACACACATACATGCATGCACACACGCACGGACAAAGACCTACCACACTCACACACTTTCCAGGCTGAAAAGAAAATTAATCAAAAAGCCCAATGAATGCCTGAACTCTATAATTAAGCCCAAATGATCTTTAGATAGAACAGGAGCTGAGTGAAAAAGCTCAGTGAGCAAGCACACAGATATTTTTACCCCAGAGTCTTACTGCCATTAATCTCTTTTGAGATCTTGAGTACATCTGGTCCCCATTTCCCTGGTAGGACATCTCCCTATAGAAGGCTTCCCAGAGAGCTGCCAGTTCAGTGACAGCCAAGGTTATCTCACTATTCCCAAGCACTTCTAGAGAGATTCCTGTGGGGAGATGTGGTGTCATGGATCCCCAGGTCAACCATACGCTTTCCTATAACAGAGCCAATCGCTAGCTCAGTAGACATTGGCATCCAGGATATCCCAACTAAGTATTGCCTGACATAAGACATGGTCAGATCAGTAGACACACTGGGCTGGAGCTGGTGAGTGGACCTTCAGGATCCACCAACTTGGAAATCCAAAACCTCTTTCAGTCCCCATGAAGTAAGGCCTGATCTCTGAGAAGGTTGGGGATCTCTCCACTTTGCCCAGCATTAGCCACTTGGCTGAGAGAGGCCTATACCCAGGCAGAGGCAGAAAAGAAAAACAGGAGAATGCCACATAATCCTGTAGGTAGCTAAAATTCCAAGAGGCCTTTAGGAGGGGACAAGTGGCTACGTGTCAGGACAGGGCCAGATGGAAAATCCCAGCACAACTTGCTGGGATGAAATGGCCACAAAAGGCATCCCAGAACAGCTGCATTTTCCTTGTTTTGTGCTCACATAGGAGACACAGAGGGTGATATATATATATATATATATATATATATATATATATATATATATATATATATATATATATATATATATTCAAATCTTTGCGTGGGTCTCTACTGGCCTGTCTGTTCCTACAGTTTTGGCTAAGACCTTATAGTTTGCAAGATCTGTCATCTTGAAGCAGATAAAATGAGGAAGCACTTCCCCTCTCCCTGTACACACATGACAAACCCCAGGCTATCTCACAGTGGTAGAGGCACTTCCCCTCACCCTGTACACACACGACAAACCCCAGGCTGTCTCACAGTGGTGGAAGTATGAGTGGTTGTGGCTTCTCTCTACATCTGCCTATAGTTACCCCTTTCTCTATGGTCTCTCCTGGACCAGCTGCATAGTTTTCTTTGAGCCTGCCTCAGTCCCTGTCCCATGCCTCATATCATTCCCTTCTCCCAGCTGGGCTGAAGGACGCTCCCTGAGAGAACCTACCCAACTCTTCTTTCCAAGACAAATATGGACCCAGGCCTCTAGGCAGTGGGATACATGGCCAAGCATGGAGCCTCTTTGGCCTCCAGGCCCACGTTTGTCTTCAGCTTAACTAGAAAATGTGGGTTGATCTTTAAAACAGCTGAGTGCTGGTTCAGTAATACCCAGGTAGGGAAGATACATGTGTAATGAACTGCACAGTGCAGAAGAAAGAACCAAGACACAAGCAGGGCCCGGTGCCACACGGGACAGTACTGTGAGATATTTAAATGGTAGTGTCATTGAATCTGGGGCCAGCTGAGGGGCTGGCTGAGGGCCAGCATTACTGGTGCAAGGAGGAGACAAAAAGGAGGGCAGGATGTTTTGCTAGTTGCCAGGCCAGGGTGAAGGTGAGTTAAGCAAAGCACGAGGACATCTAGAATTTAAGAAGGTGCTCACTCGTGGGCCTGTGCGCTTGCATGTCCCCGTAAGAGCAAGCCTTCTTGGTGTTTGCCTTGGTGCCTGGCTTGCCTCCTTCCTCTCTGCCCCACTTCACACCTACCTCTAATTCTCTGCTTTCCACACAGAGGAGCAAAGCAGGGAAGGTATCATAGGAGGTCTCCAAATACTCATTCTTCTAGCAAGTCTTCTATCTACAAGTATCTGCTACCTACTGGGCAAAACAGAATCCTTGCCCTCAGTGGGACAGTGTCCATAGGAAGCTGTAGGAGGCACTCATTTTCCCATTGGGTCATACATTGTGAGGTAGCCCAGGACCTTGCAAAGTGTCTCCAGAGTCATCTCTCTATCCAATGGATGCATCAACCAGTCTACCTCCTTAGAGGGACTGGTATGACCCCTGCCTAGTCCCTAAGGGTAGAGAAAGTGACAAGACAAGACGTCTCAAGCACACTGTTTTAAAGAAAGGCACAGATACCCTGTGGCCCCCATCAGTACACACTCCAGCACTTGAGTTCTCTCTCCATTTACTATAGCCCCTTTGCCCCCACCCTAAAAACCAACTAGAACATTCCACACAGATGTGATCCAATGAAATGTTAATTGTAAAAATAGCAGGAAACATAATACATGCACTTCAGGCTGAGAACTATTTCATTAAACTGGGTTTTGGAAGCAAGACAACCAATTCAATTATTTCCTACTTCACTCCTTCACATAACAGAAACTTTAGAAAGCTATTACTTGTAATTAATTAGAGAAAAAAGGCTATGCACGTGCACATCAGATGAATGGAGATAGAGACACTTCCACACCTCCCTCCTTATGCTTGTATATATGAGTGTACATGCACATAGGCACACACACCCAAAACTAAGAACTTTCTCACCTAAAGAATTCCATGGATTTTGCCAGGTGGTAGTGGTGCATGCCTTTAATCCCAGCACTCAGGAGCCAGAAGCAGGCAGATCTCTTGAGCTCAAGGCCAGCCTGATCTACAGAGTGAGTTCCAGGACAGGCTTCAAAGCTACACAGAGAAACCAAACCCTGTCTCAATAAAATAAAATAAAATAACAAAGATTTCCATGGATCTTCTTAAACAGTCAAAAAAATTCCTAGTCCCAAGAGCCACTAACAAAATCCAAGGATTCCTTCTCTGAGTACATTCATGAAAAGGGAAACAGGACATTTTGTGTAAAAGAATAAACAGCTTTGAAGTCAGTTTAATTATGAGCTTTCTACAGGAAAAAAAATGATCTTGTCTTTTTGCCTTTAGTAAAGTAGATATTTCTACCCAGCCCTCTCTATACCAAACATATTATTCATTGATACAGGGAACTGAGTTCCTGAGGCCTGATTTTGTATTGAAGTCATACTGACCTTCACTTATTTATCTGCAACACAAGAAGGAGGCCCCTTCTCGGTGCCATATGCACCCTACAAAGTGTTTAAGCTTATGAGAGCACACTTAACAGATAGTTCTGGGTTGCTTGTGTCTTGCCTTAGGAAAACTAATGGACAAAAGTAAGCCACACTGTGAAAATATTTTCTATATGAAAATTATGCTGTCTAAAGCATTGCTATTATATAACACATATAATAGAATTAATATACTACTGATATAAGGACTGATATCAATAAATAATATAGAACATGATTATTAAGACAGTCGTGTTAGTGATGTGACTTTTGTTCATGAGCATCTGTGTGATGTGCTCTGTGAAATGAACATCAAGGAGACTGTGAGTTCAGCTTAGGCCTCTGTTCACATATGCTGACCTTGTCCCCAGCCTCCTCCCCTCTCTCACCACACTTGTTCTTCTGTGCCATGCCAGGTATCAAGGGCTGGCAGAGCCTGGCATAATCAGGACCTCTGACCCATTCTGACTAATCACAATCCTGTAGAAATGGGAACTGGCACTTACAGATGCCAAAGAGTATGGCTGCTATTCTGGTGAACAGGGTTCACAGAGGGGTGTTTTCTAAAACATATCATCGGCCAAGTCCCTGCTTGTATGTGAAATGGGTTTATCTTCTAATTTCAGAGCACCAAGACAAGTTTATTTAACCATCTACATAAATGTTTTAGATTTTTCCTCCTAAAACTGAAGCCATATGTGTGTGTGTGTATTTATGTATTTTATATATATATAATCAGAAAAGGCACTGATGTTACTTAATATGAAATCATAAAAACATTTTGCTATAGCAATACTGGAAGCAAGTCCAGCACACACAAAGACTAGACAAGTGGCTGGGGAGATGCTCACTGGGTAACGCGCTTGCTGCACAAGCATGAGGACTTAATATCAGGTCCCAAACACCCACCTAAAACCCAGACATGACAGCATGCATCTATCACCCCAGTGTTGGAGGGGCATGGCAGAGAGGAAGATCACTGACTAGCTTGCTGACTAGTTTAGTTAGACTAGTGAGCTCCAGGCTCAGAGAAAGATTCTGTCTCAAAAAAATAAGATGTAAGCCAGGCGGTGGTGGTGCACGCTTTTAATCCCAGCACTCAGGAAGCAGAGGCAGGTGGATCTCTGTGAGTTCAAGGCTAGTCTGGTCTACAGAGCGAGATCCAGGACAGCCAGGACTGTTACATGGAGAAACCCTGTTTTGAAAACCAAAAAAAAAAAAAAAGGTGTAGAACTACTGAGAAAGACACCCAAAATAGACCTCCAGCCTCTATACTTAACATGCACACACATACACACATGCACATGCATCCACACATATACAACTTACATACTCACATATATAGACATATGCACTCCCACACATGTACATGTACACTCACACACACCAAACAAAAAATTCAGGAAAGAAAATGATTCACAACATTTAATTTTATCTCAGAATCACTCCCTTCATGCATTCAAAAATGCTTTTTGTTTTATTTTTAAAATTGGGTTCACCCACTTCCTTAGGACTTCAGCTGTTACATAAAGCAGTATATACAAGTGTCCACAAAAAAAAAAAAAAAACCCTTGCTATGTATTTTCTTTCTAAAGGAAATTTGACTGACAGCTTCAAGTTGAATGATACAGACACAGTAAAGAAGGATGCTTTGGCAATAATGGCATGGGTCAATGACAGAAATCCTGGTCATGCCAGGGGCTCCAGGCAGTCCAGTTCCTGCAAATCTCTGTGCCAGGGACACTAAGGAGCAGTGTGTGAATTTCCACCTGTTTCTGTAGGATCCTTTTGTGCTTTCCTAATGAACCAAGCACAAATGATTTGGAATCCCTTCATGTTGCTTTAGTTTTTAATCTCTTAAAAGAGAGATGAAAGTTACCGACCTCCTTTGTAGAGAAATGTACAAGATGCCCAAACCTTGGCACAAACTTTAAGCTATTATCCCTTTGAAAATCTACTTACGAAGCTTCAGTTGTGAACATCTGCTTTTAAGGAATGGTGTTTCGGTGGCCACTGTCTTAATGCACACTGTTTGCATGTTTCCGTGTCCACATGCAGGTCTCCTAGTAGAACGAAGCAAGCCCAGCAAGCAGAACCACACGGCAAGACGCTGAGGAGGAGGACATGAGCGCTGGCTGGTGGCTCTAGGAGCTGACGCCCTGGACAGCTGATTTCCTATTTTAAAAGAGTGCCATCTTGCCTGTCTCCACGCCACCCTCCCATCCCGTGACCAGTACCTCCTAGCCCCACCGTGCGCGCGCGTGTCCAGCCAGGCCAGCTGGTTGGCTCACGCGGGAGCTTTGTTGAAGCGAACGTTGTGCCTGCAGCACCTTCTGTGTGTGGAAAGATTGAGTTCCCCCACACCTCCAGCTCATCCCCTCCCTCCACATGAAGCCTCCCAAGGACAAGGCTGGTCATCCTGGACTGAAGAGACCCCTCATGGCCCAGCCCTGGCTCCCAAGCCTGCCTCACCCGACACTTTCGGGTGGGAAATGGAGAATATATATCTCCCCTTCTCCTCTCTCTTCTCTATGTGGATAGCCAATGTCAACCATCCCCTGAGGTTTCTCTAAGGTCTTTGGAAGACAACGGTTTGCCCTACCATGGACAGGCTTGGTGCCTTCAGATGACCAAGAGCAGCATTTATATCACCAGGATCAGTGGAGTGAGAGCAGAACTTCCCCCACCAGGGCAAAAGTGTATATGTTGTTTTATTGATTGTTTTATTCATTGGCATACTCACCAATTTATCATTTATTTATTTATTTATTTATTTATTTATTTATTTATTTATTTATGGAATCTGTATTTATTATACATCAGAAAATCTACTTCCATCTTTCAAACGTTAGCCCCAAATTTATCTTCTTGGCCCCCACAGAGCACAGTAAATGATTCCTCTTTGAAGCCACAAAAAAAAAGAGGGAAATTCTTCTCCCTAGTCCCAAATACTTCCACCCCAGCCAGATTTTCAACCAGAAATGGGATCAGAAACTACCAGCCACACAAATCAGCACAGGCCCAGTATCCAGGCAGAAACCTGGAGTCTTCCAACCCCTGATTTTGCACTATTTTCTCTTCCACACCTTCACAAACTCATGCAAGACCGACCAGCTGACTCCAGCCCGACTGTTAAGAGTGGACTTCTCATTCTGCTCTGGGGCAGAATGCTTGGCACCAGATGCACATTAGAATCAATGTCAGGAGCTTGAAACCACATGCCTGGTTTCCATCTCAGTGTATCCATAGCAGAGTCTCCAAAGGGCTGGCAGCAGAGGTCTTTTTAGTAACCCAGATGATTCTAACTTGTAAATGCAGTTGATAAAAAAGAAAAAAAACCCTTCTACATCCCCATCGACCTCCAAGATCCCTTCCTCCTTTGGTTCACAAGCTTCTTCTGGAGTCCCCATTCCTCCAATTCCTTTTCCTCACTAAACCTTCCTCCATCGGCACCTTCAACCTGAGCAGACCCAAAGAGGTGATTGGTCCTAAGAGTGACTCCTGAAGCTGATGCCTGCCCTTGCCTAGCTCTAGAAGCAAAAGCTTTCCCCTTGCCTACGTTCACCTTCCATCTGCACTCCCCCCCTCCACATGCCTCCCTCCAAGAGTCTGAAGGTTACATGGCCATTCCCATCTCAGCATCCTAATTTTAAGGCAAAGCTCATTTCAGTCTTTATAACCCAGGGGTTGGCTGTTTCTGCAGTGCAACATGAATTACCTGAGGGCCCACTGGTAACAGGAAAGGGCCATCCATAACAGAAAAGGACTATCCCCCCAACAGTCCTTTACCCAGTGACCTAACAGCAGCCCCCACTCTGGCATCCAGATCACAGATGACTAGAGGAGACTTCTCACCCCTCATGTTGACAAACAAGTTCTCAAACAATGAATATAAGTGAAGGGGTGTGTGTGTGTGTGTGTGTGTGTGTGTGTGTGTGTGTGTGTACTGCCTTCATCTAAACAGGCATCTATGGAGATGCTGAACTTCAACTTTACAGTATGGACCTTTACCTGAAAACGATCAAGAACTTGTGCTGTCCTGCACTCAGTGGATTCACTGTGCTCCTTTCCTCAAGGGCCCAAGTGAACTCCAGAGTTGCGGTCCCTGCAGAACAATGTAATGTCTAGGAACTGTTGGGTGTGTTAGAGAGAGTGTGTATGTTGTATGCACAATACAGTGCCCCAGCATAGTAAGAGTTCATTTTCCTACCCACCCCCCTCCGGCATCTAAGCAGGTTCCCAGAGCAAGTAGACTTCTCCTGCATTCATAGCACCATGCCTTCTTGCCCCATTTAATCAGACTGTCCTGCACCAAGTCCCATCTCTCAGGGTCCTGCTCTCTGATAGGCAACAGTTCAGTCAGTGGGTGCTAAAGAGTTGAGTGTTACACTTCTTAGGTGACATTTACCTTTTAATTGGGGCTATAGACAATGCCTTAATCTGAAGGAATAGCTTGAATGCTGGGAATTTCAGGTGCAGAAGTGGGCCAGTAAGAGAGATTATTTTTTTCTCAGGAGGGCATTTTAGAGCCTCCCCTCCCCCATACGTATCTCTAAAGTCAGCTCATAAGTACATGAGCTTGAGCAAGCACACTTACCTACATCCACATCCCATAATTTTGAAATACCTCCCTTGCATTGGCCCCATCTTTAAAAATAAAAAAAAAAATTAAAAAGGAACCAGCTAAATTAATTTAAACCTCATTGGGAAATGCAGCCTATTTTTTCACCGGCCACCAGCCATCTGGTCTACCCCACCCTGTTCCATTTCCTTTCTGCTCCTTCTCTTTTCAGCTACTGGCCTATCAGTTAATTTATGTGTACGTGTCCTCTTTGCTCTCTCCTTGCTTCCCCCCAAATGTATTTTCCTCCCTTAAAATTGTGTTGGTTTTGGTGTTGTCAAGGACAGAAGTGGAGGCTAAGAGCATGAGCATGTATGTGTGTCACCGAAGACAGAGAAGCCAGGTATTCTGCTGCAGTTTGAAGAATAATGCCACAAAGGAAGAGATGAAAGCTGGCTCTGCAGAGTGCCTTAAAAAAATGACTTTAATTAGGAAATTCTGAGTTGTCAGTCTTTGGATGTTACATAAACTCAAATGGATGTTGCATTTCACTTCTCTGGGATTTAAAAAAGTTAAATACAGTATGTATTCAACAATGACAACAAGCATATTTTCTCTTTAATTTGGTCCTTAAAGATGTAGCACTGAGGAGGTGGGGATTTGAGGGCTAGGGAGATGGCTCAGGGGTTAAGAGCACTTGATGCTCTTCAAGGGGACTGGAGTTCAGTTCCCAGCACCCATGTTAGGTGGTCCACAGCTACCTGTAGCTTGAGCTCTAGGGGCTCTGACCCCATTTTCAGACCTTTACAGGCACACAGGCACACATGTATGCACACACATGCACAGAAAGGGAGGGGGAGAGAGGAAGCCAGGAGAGGGAGGGAGATACATGTAGATACATGTCCTGCCCAGCCCCACAGACCCTGCAGCTGCTTATAAAATAATCACTCAGAAGCTTATATTAATTAAAATTGCTTGGCCATTAGCTCAGGCTTATTATTGACTAGCTTTTATACTTAAATTAACCCATAATTCTTATTTGTGTTTAGCCACATGGCTTGGTATCTTTTCTCAGTTCTGCCTTCACATCTTGCATCCTCTGTGTCTGGTGCAACTCCCGACTCAGCCTTCCTCTTCCCAGAATTTTCCTTGTCCGTTTATCCCTCCTATAATGCCTGCCTGGCTACTGGCCAATCAGCACTTTATTTATCAACCAATTGGGAACAGCACATTCACAGCATGCAGAGCACCATCACCCATCAGATACACTTACCCGTAAATAAGGTAAATCTTTTTTTAGTGTGTAGTGTCTGGCTTTTCACAAAAGGGGAGGCTCCAGGCACATGCAAGCTCTGGGATGTATAGAGGCCAGGCACAAGAGTAAGGTTTTGTGTATTTAATAAAGCTCTGCCGATGAAGGCCACACACTGCAACCGGATTCCATTCACTGGGCAGTTTTACAATGAGAAATAAACACAGACATTGTGAGCAAAGAAGAGATTCCCCCTTCTCCCTGATGATACACTATTGATCTTCATCTCCTGAGGCTGCCATAACAAAATGCCACTAACTAGGTGGCTTATCACATACAAAAAAAAATTTATTTCTCACAGTCCTAGAGGTTGAAAAGTCGAAGATCACGTTCCATGCACACTGTGTTCACATGTAAGCATGAACATGCTCCTTCAGGCCTCTTCATAAGGACACTAATTCAGATCACAAGTACTCCATTATAACGACTTAATCACCTCTCAAAGCCCCACCTCTGACATCATCACCTTTGGGGAGGAGAGCATACAGTCAGTCCATACCACTGTCCTGGTCTCTGCTTCGGTGAGGAGAAGTTTAAAGAATATCCCAGAAATGCAGAGGCTAAACCTTGCCCTTTCACCTCTTCCTCAATACCACTCCTTTTTGGAGAACCCTTGATCAGCCTCTCTCTCTCTCTCTCTCTCTCTCTCTCTCTCTCTCTCTCTCTCTGCCTCTGTCTCTCTCTATATATATATCTCTCTGTCTGTCTGTCTCTCTGTATCTCTCTCTCTGTCTCTCTGTACCTCTCTGTCTCTCTGTCTCTGTCTTTCTCTCTCTCTCTCTCTCTCTCTCTCTCTCTCTCTCTCTCTCTCACACACACACACACACACACACACACACACACACACACTTTGTTTAGCTGAACCTCTGCCACTCAAGGAGCAAACCCAAATGCAGTTATTTTGGAGCGATTGAGTCTGGGCAGGCAGTTAAGTTTCTGCACCGTTGCGTGCTCTCTCCGCGAGTTGAATTTTTAAAAGGTCAGACATCCTCTAAGCAAGAGTGGGACGGGCAGAGTTGGGAGTGAGGCCCTGACGTGCACTTGGATCCTGAGAAGTCAGTGTAGTTGGGAAGGAACTGAAGGCCCTAGCTCTACCAGGCCTCGCTCCTGCCTCTCCCCACCACCTGCACCGCGTTCCTGCACTGCTGGCTGCTGAGTGGCTGGTGTCATCACTGATAGCTGCTCTCTCATTCAGTCAGATCTGTCATGGTTATTTTCCACAAGAGGCATGACCTTTCTCCGGGGCCAGCAGTTTTAAGAAGACTGAGAGTCACTAACTAATATTCATTTTCTCTCTCTCTCTCTCTCTCTCTCTCTCTCTCTCTCTCTCTCTCTCTCGCTTTCTCTCTTTCTTCTTCTTCTTCTTCTTCTTCTTCTTCTTCTTCTTCTTCTTCTTCTTCCTCCTCCTCCTCCCTCCTCCTCCTCCTCCTCCTCCTCCTCCTCCTCTTCTTCTCTCCCTCCCTCAACCCCCCTTTATGTGCATCAAAATAACAAAGAGATGCAGATACAGACAGGAAGATAATAGTTTCCACTAACCTCTATCATGCCTGTCAGACACAAATCATGAACTCAAATGGATGAGGGGGGGTAGTTTTTAAACTTTTTTACTCTTTTTTGCAGGGGGGGGGTTCAAAACAGGGTTTCTCTATGTAGCCCTGACTGTCCTGGAACTCACTCTGTAGACCTGTAGAACAGGCTGGCCTCAAACTCAGAGCCCCGAGGCCCTCCTCTCTCTGCCTCCCAAGTCATGGGATTAAAGGGGTAAGCCTCCACTGCCTCACTAAGCGTTTGTATTTTTAAGATCGCCCCACCCTCCCAAGTCAGCAGAGCAACCCATGCTCAACTCTGTAGAAAGCAGTTCCACAGACAATTTAGAAAAGGGAGTCCTGAATCATTCCTATCATAAAGCATGATCTGAAGTATACCGTGCATGAAAAGACACTTGCTAGGTAAATATAAGGCCTTAGGTTCAATTTTTGGCACCAACACACACACACACACACACACACACACACACACACACACACACAGATTTTAAAGGCCATTTGTACTTTTTCTTAGTTTATTCATTTTAAGCAACAGTGATCCAGCCATTACAAATCCCACTGCAGAACTACATGTGTGTATACAAAGCTCTACTGTAGGAGTGAGGGTCAGAGAATGTAGCAACAGTTGAGGCAAACTGAAATATGAGTTGTATTTGTTCCCCCATTTTAAAAGAACTGGAAAGCTTTGTGTTGAACTCTGTGATGACTTGGGAGAAGGAACATGGACGTTTCTGATTTTCAAGGCACTAAACTGTCATATTGAAAGAAGACACTTGGAAACTCAAAGACATAATACTCTGCATGAGGGAGTGCCATAGCATGAGCTATATCTACATATCTTGGGCTACGAATATGGTGTTTTCTGTTACATATTAGTTACTGAAATCCTTTACCTTCTTATAGCAGAAAACACAATAATCAATCCCTTTCTGAAGCTGCTTTACCCACCCAGCACCATTTCCCCAAAAACCTTGTGTCCTTAAGCCTGTCTCAAGAAAGAAAAGCGACAAGCAGAAAGCATAGGATCTGGCCAACTGTTCCTTTTAACCTGTACCTTCCCTGCCCCCTGCCTGAAGCAGGACAGCAGTTCATGGCAGTCAGGATGCCCAGGACACTGGCTGAGCATGCCACTAGGCCAGCACAAGGATATTAAGAGGGCCAGGAATTCATTTCATCAAGTCAAAAGCTTGAGCCCATCCCCTCCCCAACACAATGACTTCACCATATTTCCTAAGCTCTGAGCCCACATTCAGGCCCCTGGGAGACTCTAATGTCCAGCCCAACTTCAAACCTTTGGAAGATGAATTGAGCTGCCATTCCTTGACTCCCAGAGTGCCCCAGGTTCCCTTGGCAAATTAATCCCGTTCTTCCACACCCCACATGCTCTCCTTCTCCAAGGGGTCCTACATTTGCATAATTAAAGACTCCTGGTGTGATCTGCAGAGTGAAAGGACCCCCTTTCTATAAGACTGCCATGTAAATAGAATCTATCCCTCTGAGAACCTCCTTTCTAGTGGAAAAAAAAAGAAAATCGATACAATAAGAAAATTATATACTAGAAAGTATGGGAGGGTAAGAAAGGGCAGATACAGGGAAGGGAGAGGATTGGGGGAGTTGCTTCCAGATGATATTCTGTCTGGATTCTGTGAAAAGTAGCTGTCAAAGAAGCTTACTACTTGACTGACTCTAGCCTCCTCAGGCCTCCCTCTTAACCTCCAAGGCATGGGCATCCTATTCCATGGAAGCCTCAGCTCTACACATTACAGATTCCAAAGCAGAGCCAAGTTCATTGCCTCTTACTGTTGGAGCAACCACGGGAGAGAGACAAAGTGGTTCCGTCAAAGTCGCACATCCACTGGGCGTCAGAGCAAGGATCCAAGCGTGGCTGCCGTGGCTCTACTGTATGACTTTTCCCAGTGCACTTGTGAAGACCACAAGACACAATTCCAGAAGATCCAGAATTGAGACCCAGGCTAGGGGTGTAGCTCTGTGGGTGGAGTGCTAGGCCAGCATTTCAAAATTGAGACCCAATGTGGTTTCTTACCAGGTGTGTAAAACATCAATGGGCGGGGCTGGAGAGATGGCTCAGTGGTCAGGAGCACTGTCTGCTCTGCAGAGGTCCTGGGTTCGGTTCCCAGCAACCACATGGTGGTTCACAACCACCCGTAGTTCAATCTGGTGCCCTCTTCTGGCCTGTAGACATGTATGTGAACAGAATACTGTATACATAATGAATAAATAAATATTTTTGAAAAA